TCTTCTCTTTATCTGGTTGTGTTCTTAACATGTTTGTACATAAAGCTTTCCAGTACTGCCTCCAGTATCTTGGTTCTCCATGTCTCCAGTCTCCCATGTGGCTCCACATATTCCCAGTCTATCTCCTTGTTGTTGAAATCCCCATGATGTGCAACTTTGCCCTGCTTACGTGGGCTCTTCTGGCCACCTAGTTAGTGTGGCCAGCATTGTTCTGTTACTCTCATCATATTCTTGTCTTCGTCTCCTGTTGTTCGGTAGGGGGTTGTATATCACTGCTATCATCATTTTTGACCCCACCCCCCCAGTTACAAGTGTTCCTGCTATGTAGTCTTCTGCTTCACCTCTAACTAGTCCTCCCATCTCCTCAAAACTTCATTGGTTGTTGATGAGCAGTGCAACTTCTCCTCCATCTATATCCCTGTATTTCCTCAGGATCTTACATCAAGATGGGAAGATCGCATGTTATCACCCCTGAGAGCTTTGTCTCTGTGAGTGCTATGATGTCCAGGAATGTCTCAGTGATTATTTCCTGCTCCTCCTCACTCTTATTTTTTATTCTGTCTGTGTTGGTATACCATACCTTCAGCTTCCTTTCCTGAAATACTGTAGGCGAAACTGCTGAACTTGAGAGCATACAAAGAGCTTTCACGGCACATATAAGCACGATAAAGCACCTAAATTACTGGGGATGGTTGAAGTCTTTTGATTTGTATTCCCTGGAATGCAGGTGAGAAAGATACATGATAATATACACTGAAACCAAGAGATTGTATCAATGCACACGAAAAATCACTCCTATGAAAGCAAAGATCGGAGTGAGATGAACATTCCTCAATGAAAGAGGAGCACCACGAGTACCTGGATCGACACATTAAGTGTCAGGCAATTACCAACTGCCTCCAGCTTACATAAGGGGGATTACAAAAACCCTGGCTGGCACTGACAGGCATTAGTCAGTATCTGACCAGCGATGTTCTATCGTAGTGTGCGTCAGGAGAAGCCGGTTGACAGCTGATCCACAGAGGCTTATCTCAAACCACAATAAGTTATCGCCTCTTATCATGTCCTTTCCTGTCGGCATCTCAATCAGATCATTTTTCCCGTCGTTTGTCAAATTATTACGACACAGTTTAAATGGCTCAGGGGACCGGCGAATGGATTGGAGCAACAAACTCAGCCGTCAGACTATAAGTATATTGGCTTCACCTAATATAAGTAGTACATATGAGCTGATAGAATACAGTGTACGCCACGGTGATAGATGGCAAAGCAGTGATTGGTCAATGAACCAAGGTACTGATTTGACGATGGGTATCCTACTGAACGTTAAACCGTTAGCACCCGGTTCGCTGGCTGGGAGGCAGACTATATGGGAGTGTGACATACGTCGAATAAATTGTGACATGCGCTTTGCATGCCACACAAGTTAACTTCATTACTCGTTAACATTATTATCATCTTGCAAACTACCCCTGTTAGTAATACTCAGTCGTTATTTACAAACTTTACCGACCAATTACTAAATAGTTATCAGCACCCTCGCTGTGATTAACAACAAATATAATAATTACATGTAATTATTATTTATACTGATAATTATTATCCTGAGGGTAGATGCTTATTGCAAATTAAAAAAAAGTATCTCCCAAAATTAATGAACAGTATTTACCGTTTAAAATCTTTTGTTTAATTTAGTGTGTTTAAATGTTATTTATGATAGAAACATTAACAGTTTTTTAGTCATAAATATGATCATTATCTTGAATATTCTTCAGTACTGTAGTTATGAACTATCTTTAATCATCCTCAAACATATCTATAATTTTATTTACTGTCTTTGTTAGGTAATAATTAACTTCATTTGCCCTGTGAAGTTATCTTTAGCCATTGTTAAAATATTATAGTTATTTTTAAACATTGCCACAGATTAAAAATTGTATTTAATGTCAGTCTTGCTGTAGTTATCCTATTTTTACTGACAAGAATATATAATAATTTAAATAGGGTATATATACTTAGACGTGTATATCCCTTCTGTGTATATACACGATCTTCTACGTATATCTCTCGATATATTTACACCTGGAGGTGTATATCTCTCAGTGTATATACTCCTAGAGGTGTGTGTATATCTCTCATTGAATACACAGATACAGGTGTATATATTTCTCTGTGTGTATGCACCTAGGGATATCTATTTGTTGGTGGGGATTAAAGTAGTCTTGACTGGCTATGAAGAGGTGACATACATTCTTAATGTAAATCGTGCCGTCGATAGGCTATAAACTTAACAGTCCAACCAATATTATTACATACTAACACATGTAGTAATTCCACATCTGTCGCCAGCATCGCCACAGGAGCGGCAATATGCAGTCGCTAATGATCGCCATTTAGGAAATCACAAACTTGCAAGAAAGTTCGCAACTTGTCTCGCCGTTGCAAGGGCAACAGAGGGAGTCAGAGGCCAACAATAGTTCATCACTGGCTAACTTTCTCTAATTTAGCATACACTCCAACTGCCAAAGTTCCTGCAGCGTCAAGAAGGCAATTATCTGAGTATATACAGGCCCGAAAGTTTGAGTTCGTTTAATAAGGCAATACATACCAGAGCTGCTCGTAGTGTTTAATTCTGAATTTCCTCAATGGATATGTCAAGAAAAATGGTAGATACGTGGGTAGGTAGACAGAAAAGTGGGTAGGTAGGTAGATGGGTGATAGACGGCGCAAGCTGACATATAACCATGTTGTAATAATGTTGGTAAGAATTACCGACAATATGTAAAATAAAAGGACACAAGTGCAACTAATGTGACAGTTTTTATTGTGGCAACGTTTCGCTCTCCAGGTAATAGCTTTTATATCCCTTTACTCGTGTAGTAGTAGTATTACTTCTACTACTACAACTTATATTACTACTACTATTATTACACTAGTATTACACTTCACTCTAAGCCTATATATACCCTCTGTGTCGATATATTGTTTGTAACGGCTTGACAAAACTCCTGGAGAGCGAAACGTTGCCACAGTAAACAAAGTCACATTAGTTGCACTTGTGTCCTTTTACTTTACATATAACCATGTTACTTAGCAGTAATGTAGACGTATGTTAAATTATTTTGTGAAATACAGAGTCTGGAGTCAATCTTCAGACTTAGATCAGGATAAAATCTCTTGGCTAACAAAAATACAATTAAAGTATGAGGGAGAGAGAGAAAGGAGAGAGAGAGAGAGAGAGAGAGAGAGAGAGAGAGAGAGAGAGAGAGAGGGGAGAGAGAGAGAGAGAGAGAGAGAGAGAGAGAGACGAGAAGAGAGACGAGAAGCAGAAACGATGAGAGAGAGAAGAAAGAGAGAGAGAGAGAGAGGAGAGAGATGAGCGAGAGAGAGACGAGAAACAGATAGACCGGGTCTGGGAGCGTCGTAAAGAGTAAAAATAACACAGGGAAGATATTAACCAAGGAACGGATGGCAAAATTTGGAACTTGAATTTTGCTAGATAACTTCATGAAAAGGACTTTCAATACGAAACAGAATATAGCTACATATAATAATTCATAAAACCTACTAGGTTTTCTTGCAATAACGTCAGTATTTGAGATAACTTATATCATGAAAAAACTATATATGGAAATATATATAATATATTAATAATATATAATATATATATATATATATATATATATATATTAATATATAAAATATATATATATATATATATATATATATATATATATATATATATATATTATATATATATATATATATATGTCGTGCCGAATATGTAAAACTGGTCAATTAGCAAGAACTCATTTAAATTAAGTCCTTTCTAAAATTTTCTCTTATACGTTTAAAGATATATTTTTTTCATTAATGTTAATGTAAAAAATTTTAATTTTGCACCAAAAGAATCTTAGAAAACTTACCTAACCTTATTATAACAAGAACAATTTATTTTAGCCTAACCCAACTAAATATATTTTAGATTTGTTTATAATAATTTAATAATAAACAAACACAGTGAAATATATTTTTTTCGTTAGGTTCAGAATGATTTTGGCAAAATTACTGCATACACAAATTTTCACTTGTCCTATATGGCAAGATGAGCGTTGCTATTTAAGCCAAGATCGCAAGTTCTGCCTATTCGGACACGACATATTTTTATATATATATATATATATATTATATATATATATATATATATATATATATATATATATATATATATATATATATATATAATATATATATAAATGCGGGCGCTCGGTTCTCCTTCCAGGAACTGACCACCAGATCTTGGAAAAGATGAAAAACGCGAGTCTCGTCAGAACTCCCACACACGGTAAGCGCTTTTCTCTTCAAGGGGTATATGCACCTTGATGCCAGTGAGGGGCGCTCTTAATCCAGGGAATTATAACTGCTCTCCCCCTTCCTCGGCTCTGTAGTGTATTCTCTATTTATACACAGAAAATTAATAAAATTTGGGAAGAGTTTAATAATGCATTGGACAAATAATAAACCTTATTTCTTGGGTAGAATATTTTGTTGGTGGGTTGTCGTGAGGACTTGTCTAGTTGGACCAGCGGACCTACTGCAGTGTTCCTCTTTTCTTATGAGTCCGGTATTGTCGCGCGTCAGGTGTTTCTTTGTCGTGAGATGTGACTGTGAGGTGTGGTCTAAGCCCTTTAATTGCCTTCCTTTGATGTATTGCTTTCATAGTTCCTTGACAATGTGAGTAGTCACGAAACCGCTTGGAATTTCACTGCTCTTTCACAGTGGTTGTTTTGCATATTTTAAAATCGCCTGTTTACTGTGATCTTATTGCATATATATATATATATTATATATATATATATATATATATATATATATATATATATATATATATATATATATATATATATATATTATATATATATATATATACAATAGACATTACTTAATCTTTATACTTTTCACTCATTTTCTTTCATCTCTTATCAGGATTATTTTTAGCATAGAAATATCATCAATATTGTAACACATTTATTTTCGGAATAAACTTTTTTCTTAATATATTAATATTTCGCATCAGTGACATGCATGTTGTATTTTCCTGTTCCCCAATAATTATTTGTGATGTTTCCTATTTTTCTTATTCTTAATTATTCTTAAAGTTTACAATAGATGTTGCACTCACAGCTTCCTCCTGGAGCTCATCTCACTCCTCAGTTACTATATTGGTAAAGAAATACTTCCTGCAATCTTTTCAGAAATATTCCTGCAATCTTCTCTCTCTCTCTCTCTCTCTCTCTCTCTCTCTCTCTCTCTCTCTCTCTCTCTCTCTATCTATCTATCTATCTATCTATCTATCTATCTATCTCTGCTTTTTAAACAAGAGAAGTTTGAGGTCACTGTATGATTATCATTTGTTGTATGGTAAATCAATACAACTTTACTCAAAGATTTACCACCTATAAAAAGTATTTAAAACGAAAATAAATAAAAAATTCGATGTTTTTATGTATAATTACTATGAACAGCACGACTCTTAGTTGATACAGGTGATTTAGTTTTCGTTATCAGTAATAATTGAATTTATTATAATTATAAGCAAGCGCTAAATCCGTGATAATTGAATTAAAGAAAACATAAGATAGCATCTTAAACCATTCATGCTGTGCTACATGCCAACACACATCACAATACATCACAACATAACGTAGCATCAGAGACACCAACATAGAGACTTGCTGGCCAGGTTTCAGGATTGACCACCAGCAGAAGTCCTTTTGTCAAGAGATCGAGCCTCTCGAGTTGGTTTCTGTTATTTTTATCCTCGAAAGTCTTTGTTTTGCGTGTGTGTGTGTGGTGGTGAATATTTTTCTGTCATTACAGAGACGGTGAGAGAAGTGAAGGTGTGAAAATTGAGAGAGACTTGTATAATGTTTCAATGAATATTACTAGCGAGCTAAAGTGTAATGAACACTTATCATTGATCAGTAATAACCCACATGTTGACAAACTCAGAAGGTTGGTCTGTATATTTCGACCCCTTTCTGGGGTCCTCTTCAGTATATCTGCTGAGGAGGATCCCAGAAGGGGGTCGAAGTATACAGATCAATCAATCTTCTGAGTTTCTGTCTCCATGTGGGTTATTATCAAGCAATACAAAACTAAATTTTTACTTTTATAAGATAAAGGAAGCGCTTCACTCACCACCGGTCTCATTATTACTAGTTCCAAATATGAAATATCGAACGAACGAACGAAAAAGTACAGGTAAGATTCCAATGGGATGAGTTAGGAAGACGGGACAGACGAAGAATAACGCTGGAGAGTGTTCTCAGTCGTAGAAATAAAGCCAGGGCTTAACCCAGCAGCTAAGGCGATCGTGGGACAGACTTGAGAATAGGAATAGCAGACCAGTTGCGTTGGTCTTGTAGTAGTAGGTTAGTAGCAGGACAAGGCAGGCAGCGAAGAACATCAGAGGGCAGCATACTGGTGGTGGTGTTCGACGTAATTAGGGTGGCAGGTTTGTAGGAGATCCATTCTCAAATCTCTTGAAGTTGCTTCTAGAGAGGTGGTAAAGATATGTCTTGTTTCCAAAGGTGAAACGAAGAGGTTTAAGGAATTCCAGAACTTAGGTGACAGTGAAGTGATAAGGTTGTTCACAGGAGAACTTAACAGTTCCTGCACCGAGGACTTTGAAGAGTTCAGTGCAGGTCATAGTGTCGACATTTGATGGTGCAGTGTAAAATGTGAGATTTCCCAAATTGGTGTGGTAGAGTCGTCGATATCTTCTTCAGATATGTATTCATTAGATGAGTCTGTTTTGGTACTAGCAGGTGACTGAGGGTCGGCAGGATCAGTGGAGAGCTGTTCTGGTGGTGTAGCATCAGTGTGGGAGGTAGTGCTCGAGGCAGCTAGAATAGTGGTGTGGCAAGTTGTGGCAGGTGCAGGAACATCTGCTTGGGCAGTAGGAGACAGGTCAGCAGTAGTAGTGAAGTTGATGATGTTTGGAAGAATTTTGATGATGTCAGCTGATGGTAGGGAGTTAGGAAATGCAAAGGCTGGCATATTGTTGAGACGAAAGAGTTCATTTATGGAGGCGCTGAAGGTGCCAGGGTTGGCTGCATTGGCTAGATGAGCTTACGTTATACAACACCTCTGAACCTTTCAACAATTACACTTAACAATGGCTTAAAAAAATTCTCAGTACCTCTGCCAAATCTTTGCCTTCTTATCCAACATGTAAACACAACAACATTAAAGTTCGTCACTCTCATTTACACCAGACCAGATGCTGCAAACCTTCTTGTTACGTGATGAATAAGACACTTGTGCAAGACTAGTCTGGAAAAAAAGGCCACTGATTGGCGAAACGTTTCCACATTAAAAATTTACAAGTGTTGCGCAACTGTCTAAAAACAGCAACCTTTCGGTTCTCTGAATAAGTTATCTACATTCTTGCTACAACTGCTACAAGTGTCTTTGGAAGTAAAGTCTGTTAGATTAATAAGATACTTGTGCATCACAAGGGTATCTTTTTTATGGAGAAGATCTCCCAATCGGTGGCTTTATTAATCCAGTTAAAAAAATAACTACTAGAGAGGTGTAGGACGTGAAGTAGTTTGAGGTGATCAGTCCCTCAGCTTTGATACAATCTAATAGAGAAAATAATCACTGGGATGGACTGAGAAAGTTACTGGTTGATGATACGTCTCCCCAATAAATAAACACATACACACACACACACACACACACACACACACACACACACACACACACACACACACACACACACACACACACACACACAAATAGACACACACAACACACTCAGATGAGTTATGGCAATGTTAGGAAGTACTTCTTCGTCAGCCTTAGATTTGACAGGAATTGGAACAATCTAGAGAGTGAAGTAGTGGAGACAGGATCCATACACAACTTTGAGATGTACGATAAAGCTCATGGAGCCATTGCAGGATGCTGGGAATGGGCGCAACAACTTTGGTCATAGATGACATGAACATGCCAATTGTTCCAAGGATTTGGCCCTCGAAACCGGACACTAATGTTGAAATTTTGAGGCCTAATGAACGAGGCTATTATTATTTTCACGGGGAGCGCTAAACACGTAGGGATTATACAGCGAATGGATGAGGAGTTCTCGAAATATGAGCGAAATAAAATCGAAAAGTTGGAGGATGGAAAAATAAGAAGAAAAAAAAAAGGCAACGTCTTAAAGTCTCCCTCCTGGGATACCTCATGAATGACCACAGGTGTTTATACCTCATAATATACACGTGCTTACACCTCATAATATACACGTTAGCACCTCATTATATACAAGTGTTTACACCTCATAATATACAGTGTTATGCGGCTAAAACTTATGAATTACTTTAAGCCTATACCAGTACACATACACAGGTGTATTTCACCCCCTCCCCCCAAAAAAAAAAATATAGATCAGGCATTTTACACACACATGAGCTACAATACTACATTATTTCATATACAAACACTAAAGATCATTGTATATTACACACACACACATCAATACCGACCAAGATTGTTGTATTACACAGGCAAACACCACAGACCTGAGTATATGACCTTAGTGCGTCGCTTATACAAGTAACGACAAAAGTAGGTGCATTAAGGTGGGTCAGTGCCCACTTATCACATCATCACTGGGTTCGTCAACAATGATTTCCACTATTACTTTTACCATGTGTTTGCCTCTAATACAACTATATATACATTAGGTCTACTTTTGACTGTTCTGTGACTACTCAGACAAATACAGAGAATAGAGGGGAAGCCTATTAAAACTAAATTTTCGTTTTCCCCCCGAATTATCCCAAAATCCTTTACACTTAAGTATGTCGTTCGATATTATGAACTTTCAGAATCAACATTCATTCTCTAATTCATCTTGGCATTCTCTCTTAAGCTGTTTAAGCTTCTTTCATCATCTGCCAAGTTGTTTTCAGAACAGTCATACTGTTTCCTGCCAGTCATAGCGTCGCCTTCACTGGATAAGCGTTCCTCCGAGTCACAGGTACACCTGAGCTGAGCCTGGTGTAGATACATGGGAGGAGGTGCTTCTGTCGGCGCTGCAGGAAAGTTTATAGTTGGAATCAAGTTGGCAGAAGTACCGGGGCTGGATATGGAGCGTCTGTAACCTGACAGTCTTGGGGTGGTGTTGGAGCCACGGTGTCTAGCAGCGTTAGGTGACGGAGTCTTAATTCTTGGAGTTGTTCCTCCAATCATGAGATTTTGATTCCTCATGCCGTAGTAATGCATGTCTATCGCTTCCTCGCCGTAGCCTCCAGCAGGAGTTATTCGGCCACGTAGGTACTGTCCCTGTCTTGCCACGGAGGCTTCCAGTGTACAGATGCGACGGCACAGGAATATGGAATACATCAGCAGGACCACAAAGAAGACGAAGAAGGCGCCCATCAGTCCTACACAGACCCAAGCCCATAAGGGAATCTTGTTACATTCTTCGCCAGTGATTCCCTCGACCTGAATATTGAGGTCGAGTGTTGAGTTCGCCAGAGCTACGGTGAGAGTAGTCTCTGAGTCTGGTTGAGTACTGGTTGATGTCTCGTATGATTCAGTAGTTGTGGACTCAGCGGTAGTGGTAGCTGGGGTAGTAGTAGTAGTGAGTGGTGTTGTAGTCGTGGTGGTAGTTGTAGTAGTTGTGGTAGTAGTGGTAGCAGAGGCAGTTGTGCTGACTTCTGCAGAAGAAATACACGTGTATTATTTATGCAATTAAAGCATTTATTGTATCAAATTATTAGCAAGTCATACTCCACCAACTTCTGCAGAAGAAATACACGTGTATTATTTATGCAATTAAAGCATTTATTGTATCAAATTATTAGCAAGTCATACTCCACCAACTAAATATATTTTAGATAAGCCTATAATAATTTAATAATAAACACACAAAATTAAATATATTTTTTTCGTTAAGTTCAGAATGATTTTTGGGAAATTATTGCATACAAAAATTTTCGCTTGCCTTATTCGGCAAGGAAAGCGTTACTATTTAAGCCAAAACAGCAAGTTTTACACACACACACACACACACACACACACACACACCACACATACACACAACACATACACACCACATACACACACACACACACACATACACACACACATACAACACACACAACACACACACAACACACACACACACACACACAATATATTATATATATATTTTATATATATATATATATATATATATATTATATATATATATATATATATATATTTATAATATATATTTATATGTTTGCCGAATATGAAAAATGGTCAATTAGCAAGAACTTACTTAAAAAAGCCCTTTTCTAAAAATTGTCTCTCATGCTTTAAAAAGATATTTTTTTTTCTTAATGTTGATGTAAAATTTAAAATTTTGCACAAAAGGAACTTAGAAAACTTACCAAACCTTATTATAGCAAGCGCAATTTATTTTAGCCAAACCCCCTTAAATTTTTTCGATTTGTTTACAATAATTTAATACTAAACAAAAGAAAAATTATTTTTTTCGTTGGGTTCAGAATGATTTTGGCGAATTTTGCATAACAAATTTTCAATTGCCCTATAGGGAAAAGAGAGCTTTTGCTATTTAACCCAAGATCGCAAGTTCTGCCTTTTCGGCCGCTATTATTTTTATATATATATTTTATTATATTTAATTTTATATAATAATATATATATATATTATTATATATATATATATTATATTATTGTGATTTAATAAGTCTCAAATTTCACATATTTTTGCACTTAAAATCGGCAGATGTGCTTTACCATTTAAATTTTTTTTTATCGTTTCAGCTGCGCCCTCAGTACTATTTTGGGAAAGTTATGGAGCCTTTCCCAGGATGTTTGGAATGGGTTAAACAATTCCTCCCACGTTAATGAAGATTGTACTTTTTTGATTATGTTTTTGTGTTTTATTCTGTACGAGCAGTTGACGCCGATCTCAGCGTCAGCAAAACACACTGACTACAAAGCACTTCCAATGAAAAAAAGGAAAGTTATAATTATTGATAAACCTGTGGTGTTAGAAATTTACAAAATTTAAAAAAAAAAAATTTTTACGAATGTTTTGTTTGTTTAATAAAATGTTATTGTATTCTTTTTTTAATCTAATGATTTTTAGCTGATGTAGTATGCTGCAAATGCCTGGTGTGTTATTAGTTTTTTGGCGCTCATGCTTTTTTTTAAAATCATTTATATTGACAAGAAATTATTTTTTTTAGAAAAAAAGCACTAAATCAGTAGGGTGACAGAGCACTCGAAGAAAAAAATATCGGTAAAAAATTTTGAAATAGATGACGTAAACATTTTCAGGCCGTCATGGACGGACCCTGGGGGGGTTTACCCCCGAGCACCTCCGGAAGGAAGATCCAGGTGTGCATTCTGATGGGTGTGACCTTCCGCACATTCTTTTTTTTTTTTAAACAGTGGGGGAAAGTTAAAATGGTAGGACCCATGTAGATCCTGGGGAAGTGAGGGCTCCAAGGTCTATCAAGAAAAGGGAAGGTTTCTCTATTTTCCGAATCAAGAGCCCCTCCCAGCTCAAAGCGGACCCCTTTTGCGGCTCCTTCCGGGCGCCTTGTGCCGCCCCAAGAATCTTGACTCGGAAGCCTTGAAGTAGCTTCCCCTTTCCTGGTAAACTTTATTGCCTTCAAGTCCCCCGGTGCTGTATGCCCCCCACAGGCTTAACGCTTTTTCCCCCTGAATTAATCATAAAATGCAACTAGAGAGAGAAGGTGTTGGATAAAAAAGAGAGGATGAAACTGTTGATAAAACCCCGAAGGAGGGTTCCCTTTATGTTGGAGGGCTTTGATTAGGGGAAAGGATCTGTGCTCCAATTTTCTGAATTAAGCCCCTGAAAGCCTTCCAACCCCCCCCCCCCTCCCCAGCAGGCGTGCAAGCCCCTACGGTTTAGTCTCCAATAATAATTTACGAGGGGTTTTCAGCTTGGGCTCCTCAAAATTTTCATGGAGAAACCCGGGTTGTGTACTAATTGGCTTTTCAATATCCACCAAAACACTCGCCCAGATTTAATTGTACAGCACGGGGTTTTCTTTTCAAAATTCTAACATACGGGGGAAAAAAAGAATGCTGGGGGGGGGGGGGGGGTTTTCAAATTTGTGTGTTGCGTGAAACACCGGCATCTTCCTTACTTTTCACCTACACTACAAACAAAATTTTTTTTTTTTTTTTCGTTTTTTCTATTTGCTCCATAAACAGTCTTGCAGTAATTGGGCGCGCGCACGCGCGCGCCCACACACACACACACACACACACACACACACACACACACACACAAGCCCGGAGCTGAGTCTCGACCCTGCAACCCCAATTAGGTGAGGGCACACACCTACAACGTGTGTGGTTTTGTGTGTGGAGTGTGAATATTAAGGACATCAATATGAAAGGGGCCCTCGGGGCCAGTGACCACATGGCATGAAAAATTTCCCGCCGAGGGTTTAGTGGGACAGAGAAATGAAGGGAAAACCCGTAAATGAGATGATGGAATATGTGACAATATGCAAAGAAGCTGAGAGGTTTGTACCCAAGGATAACAGAAATAACGAGAAAACCAGGATGAGCCCTTGGTTTACTCAAAGGTGTAGAGAGGCCAAAACCAAGTGTGCTAGAGAATGCAAGAAGTATATGCACAGGTAAGAAAGGAGGCCCAACGACAATACGAAAATGACATATCAGCGAAAGCCAAATTTGACCCGAAGCTGTTGTACAGCCACATCATGAGGAAAACAACAGTCAAGGACCAGGTAATCAGGCCGAGGAAGGAAGGAGGAGAGATCCCAAGAAACGACCGAGAAGTATGTGAGAAGCTGAACATGAGATTCAAAGAAGTGTTCACAGAGGAGACAGAAGGGACTCCAGAAAGATGGAGAGGTGGGGTACACCAACAAGTGTTGGATGCAATACATACAACCGAGGAAGAAGTAAAGAGGCTGCTAAGCGAGCTAGATACCTTAAAGTCGTTGGAGTTGGATAACATCTCTCCATGGGTCTTGAGAGAGGGAGCAGAGGTGCTATGTGTGCCACTAACAACAATCTTCAACACATCTATCGAAACAGGGAGATTACCTGAGGTATGGAAGACAGCAAATGTAGTCCCAGTTTTTTAAGAAAAGGAGACAGACAAGAAGCATTAAATTACAGACCAGTGTCGCTTACATGTATAGTATGCAAAGTCATGGAGAAGATTATCAGGAGAAGAGTGGTGGAGCACTTAGAAAGGAATGAGCTTATCAACGACAACCAACACGGTTTCAGGGATGGGTAATCTTGTGTCACAAACCTACTGGAGTTTTAGGGTGACAGCAGTAAGACAAGAGAGAGAGAGAGAGGTGGGTAGACTGGGTTTTCTTGGGTCGTAAGAAGGCTTTTGACACGTTACACATAAGAGATTAGCGCATAAGCTGGAGGACCAGGCAGGTATAAAAGGGAAGGCACTGCATTGTATCAAGGAATACCTGTCGGGAAGACATCAGCGAGTCATGGTATGTGACGACGTGTCAGGGTGGGCGTCCGTGACGCGCGGGGTTCCACAGGGGTCAGTCCTAGGACCGGTGCTGTTTCTGGTGTATGTGAACGACCTGACAGAAGAAATAGACTCAGAAGTGTCCCTGTTTGCAGATAATGTGAAGTTGATGAGAAGAATTCAATCGGAGGAGGACCAGACAGAACTACAAAGGTATCTGGACCGGCTGCAAGCCTGGTCCAAAAACTGGCTCCTGGAGTTCAACCCCACCAAGTGCAAAGTCATAAAGATTGGTGAAGGGCAAAGAAGACAGCAGACGAAGTACAGTCTAGGGGGCCAGAGACTACAAACCACACTCAATGACAAGGATCTTGGGGTGAGTATAACACCGGGCACATCTCCTGAGGCGCACATCAACCAAATAACTGCTGCAGCAAATGGGCGCCTAGTAAACCTAAGAATAGCATTCCGATATCTCAATAAGGAATCGTTCATGACCCTGTACACCGTGTATGTCAGGCCTAGCCAAGCATGTAAGGAAATTAGAGAAAGTGCAAAGGTTTGCAACAAGACTAGTTCTGAAGTTAAAGGTCATGTTCTACGAGGAGAGGTTAAGGGAAATCGACCAGACGACACTGGAGGGCAGGAGAGATAGGGGGGACATGATAACGACATGAAAAATACTGAGAGGAATTGAGAAGGTGGACAGAGATAGGATGTTCCAGAGATAGAACACAACAACAAGGGGTTACAATTGAAAATTGAAGACTCAGATGACTCGCAGGGATGTTAGGAAGTATTTCTTCAGTCACAGTTGTAAGGAAGTGGAATAGTCTAGGAAGTGATGTAGTGGAGGCAGGTTCCATACATAGCTTTACGACCAGTGAAAGGAGGGGCCAGGAGCTGTGACTCGACCCCTGCAACCACAACTAGGTGAGTATAACCAGGTGAGTACACATACATACATACACACACACATATTATATATATATATATATATATATATATATATATATATATATATATATATATATATATATATATATATATATATATATATATATATGAATGCAAGAATCGTGAACAAGGCACACAGGATGCAAAACAAGCACAGGGGGAGTTAAATGATAGTTCAATATATATACAGTGATAATAAACATATCTGTGGAATTTATATTCACCAAGTGCATCTAACCTGTTTGTCCTCCAGATGAATGTGAAGCTGCGTATCTTTCTTATGAAAGATGAGAGTGAACTTTGATTGTCGTAGAGCGACACCGAGCCAGCCAGCAGATAACCACTTTCCGGACAGCCGCTCTTCATAAAGTGCAGCTCCAGCTCCTGTCTTTGAAAACTTGTAGTTGACATTTTTACTCTTTAGGAGCTTCAGTTGAAGTGCAAAAGTCGCATTTCCACTTTTACTGTCGAATGTGAAGTCTGCCACCCAGTTTACCTTCACTAAGATGTTAGGGATTTTGAGCCAGAGGATGTAGGAGTCTGCATCGAGCGCATAATTGTTTTTGGTGCTCCTGGTGATCGACGTCGACGTTTCGCACACTGATGAAGGCATATATATAAAAAATATTGTTGCATGCATGCATAAAACTGGAGGGGATATTTTTTTGAAGCTTTTACATCTGCTGTTTGTTTTTGCAAATTTTGAAAGCTAACTACTAAGAACATTTTTCTACTCTCGGCATTTTGTTATTAAACTTTATTGTCAGAATTTTGCATATGCAGGACTTTTACTTCCCCGG